ACCTCCGCTTGCGCCGGAGTCTCTGAAATCTGAAAAGACTCCGACTGCCACATCACAAAGACTCAGTCTCTGCGCTTCGCTGAGCCGCTGGCCGAAGCAGGTCCGCGATCTCCGCATTTCTCGGGCAGCGCGCTTGGGCAGCCGGGGCTAGCTTGAGTCTATACACGGTGTGGAGTCACAGAGTCATATTGTGCAGAAGATGGTGCAGACGCTGAAGAGGACAGAAAATCCATTCGCAACGTTGCGTCTCACTCTGTTTCCATGCATGCAACAGACCAGACGACCCTCCGAGCCCGAACCCTGAGCTTTGAGGTAGGGAAGCGGCGAGGGAGCGCTTTAAATGTTTGCACCGAATTCTGAATTTGTTTGCATCAAGCTGTGTATCTCCCGATGTGCTCAGAGCGTGCAGCTGCGTGCTGCTTGGCCGCTGTGCCGTGGGCTGGCAGCGCTTTGTGCCGACAGGACGTTCCGGCTGATGCTTTGCCGACATTCAGGATGCTTGACATCGGTTGATCTGTTGAGCTTCTTTGTGGCGACAGCCCCTGTTGACAATAGCCTTGGCATGATGAACGCTTTGTTCGAGGGGAAGGGCCGTCTTGTGATCCACGTGGAAGGGTCTTAAGGTGCAAGCTTCCAGGCAGGTAAATTGGTGAGGCGACGCAGCAAAAGACAATTACGTTAATTTGCAAGTCGTGGGGTTCACTCCCTGCCAAGCAGTGAGTGCTCCTGGTCCACCAAAGATGGTGCCGCCGTGACGCAAGACTCTGCCGAACAAGGCCCAGGGACATTGAAGAGACTCTTGCTCTTGGGCAGAAGGCGCTCGTTCGCCCGCCAGGACTTGAGAGGGACATACTGCAACGATGGGTGGTCGAGCATTGGCCTGCAGCCGAGTGATGAGAGACGCAAGGCAAAGATGACTTAAGCTTCTACCGAAGGTGATCTTGGGGGTTTTGCTTGAGGCCGTCGGCCACCTTGCCCGACTCTGGCCAGTCGGAGGCATTGGTGTCATCCATGCTCTTATGCTCTGCACAACAAATACAACTCTCTATGTTGTGCTGCCTGATTGGGTCACGAGTTCGCAGGAGCAGCCGTTCGAAAACGTCTGTTGCATGCAGATGCATGTGCGGATTCGTCAGTTGTATGCAGATGCAGGTGAGGATTCATGTCGCTAAGTTTTCCTGATTGCACTTCTTCCTTTCGTTGTGTAGGTTTCGATGGATTGCCGGCATCTACCATCCTGCTTGCAATCCTGAGAGGTGAGCGCGAACTGTGTGGTGGAATTAACTGCCATGTTCGACGCTCAGTCTCAATGCCTCCGGCAGCAGATCTCGGGATAAGATCGTTGTGCGCAAGCCTCAGCCTTTCCATTTTAGACTCAGGGCGAAGAGGTCGCATGTCCTCTCGACGACAAACCGTCTGACGAAATTGTTGCCCTACTGAGTTTCAAAATGAGGCTCAACCAGTTCTCACGGCCTACTTCCTGGGTACGACCGTAACATAGGACTTACGTGGACCTGACACAACCGGCCCGTACATTACGGTATGTATAGACCTTCCAGGATACGAATTTAGCCAAGAGCCGCATAGGCCATGTACTGACACCAAAATCGTGCTACTATGCGGTGGTGCGAAGCGCAAGTTTTTCATCCCGATCAGTGGCTTCCCAACCTCACCCAGCGAAAGTACGGGCCGCATCGCCAGTCGCGGTTTCCTGCCATGCTAACCGAGCCATCTCTGTCAAACCAGTCAACACCACTTGAAGGGAAGGACAGGGCAAAGAAAGGAAACGGATGGCCTTTATCACAGCGGTACATTTCCTGTGCACAGCAGATCATGTGACAGCTCCGCAGCTGGCAGTCAGGGCTGCATATGCAGCATTCGACCGAGTCGCTCACAACAGTAACGCAGCCACGGTCGCACCTGCGCGTGTCGCAGCCAGCGACCCTATGCATCGCGCATGATCTCCCGCCATTCCTCGTGGATCAAGTCTCTCGACACCGTCTGCAAATTCGTTGCCGAGCCGGTGTGTCCAACCACCTGAAACCCCGTTCAGACATGCGTGTAAACCATAAAGCGGACAGAACTTCACAGAAACTGTATCAAACCCGATCTAATCCCGCAGGATGGATCCTCACTGCAGCACAAATTGACAGGTGTATGCTGCACACTTAAGTGGGTATCTACCAGAGCTTGCCGTAGCAAGGATCCTCGATGTGCGGACAGGCCCGAACATTCATAGGCATAAGGGCCCTGATCCATCTGCGACACGTGCATCGACGCTCGAGGTCAAGCTCGTCAGGTTTGACGGTGATGTTGGACACTGCGGCCGCCTTGGTTGGATACAACAGATGTACCGGGTAGCACAGAATGCCATATGTCGTGGCATTGATGGCAGTGCTGCCTTCAGGCTTTTGCTGTCTTTGCACGAGAGCCAGAGGCGTGGATGCGAGATGGATACATTCATTGATTAGATCAGTCAGCGAAGGAATGCAAAAAGAGAGGATGTGGATGAAGCCCGCAAGCTTGGAATACATAGTGGGCTTTCTAAGCATGGCCCGAATGACGGAAATGTACAACCCTGTGCGAGGCTCTGGCAGTTGCCGACAGCCGTGGCCAAGAGCCTCTTCATGCGCCGGGCTAAGACGCAAATCTAGCAAAATCTGCTCTCGACTGCATTGCAGAGTGCATAAACCTCGGCTTGAGTCAGGTCGCTGCAAGGCGAAAGTGCCCTGCACTGGTGCAGTTGCTGCTGGCCCGCAGCCCAAGCTGGCCCCAAGCGCTGAAATTCGTCAAATGTGTGGAAGCGGCCTATCGGGGGTTGTTGAGTTCGCTAACACATGTGGTTGTGTGAGCGTGGCCAGGATCTCAGAGCGTGCCCACATGCCGCCGGGTTCGGGCCACAGACCCTGGTCGATGCTGCCCTGGTCGTGAAATGTGGTTCTTGGATGTTCTTGGATTGAAAAGGGCGTCTCTGGTCTTGCGTAGATACGAAAGGTGCAGAACGGTCGAGTGTGTCTGCTTGGTCTAGAAGGTCCCGCGATGGACGTTCTGCCCTCCATTTGGCTGCAGCGAGCAGTGATGTGGAGCTCGGGCCTGAGGAGCGTCCGAGCGTCAGTGCACCACAGCCCTTTCTGCTCTTTTGTGCGCGAGCAGGCAGAAGTCTTGAGCAAAGGCTTCTCAAGCATCTTTTCTCTGAGGTCAGTCCGCCGGCTCCTGGCTGCCCGAGCCAACCCGGATTGCCGTGATCAGCTGAGGCGCGGTGCTCAAAGAACTCGTGAAGGTAGTCTTCGAAAAAATCGAATGCGCCTTTTTTTCAAAGCGGGAGGATGCTACCCTTGGACATTGCAGCTCGTCTGCGGGCACAGGATGTCCAAGAGGCTCGGCGCTCGGCACCATGAAGCTCACGGTGTACTCATGGATCCCAGCTGTGCATATATGAATATCGGTTGGATATGGTTGGATTGTATCCGACCCGACCAAGCAAGGTTTATGCTTGCATGGCCTGGATGGAATCGCAGTGTTGGTGCTTTAGTAGGCATCGTCATCATTTAGACTGGTCATCTTGAGTCGAGATGTTAAGCAGTGTGCGGATAATTCGTCTTCCTTGGGTGGCCAGGTTCTGCTGGCCACCATGGCTGGATCGCCGACAGGGTGCCCCTGCAAAGTTTTGGGTCTGACCTGCAAAGATGTGGGGGATCGTGAAGCGGGCTTCTGCTTGTGAGCGCCAGGACATGCTCGTCCGGCAGGAGCTGTGCCGTGTCCTGATCGGGTGGTCGGCCCGCAGCGCGCGTGAAAGGAAGAACTCGACTTGAGTGCATCGCGCATCCGCTGAGGTGTTACTGTGAAACAAACGGTTTTGGCGGGTCATCGGCAGATGGTTGCGTGATGACCGAAATAAGGCATGAGAAGGAAGAGCTGCCAACTCTCGAATGCTGGCATGTCGCCTGGCCATTTGTGGCTCAGACTGGTGGGATTAGAGGGACAATCCATTCAAGAAGTCTCCCCACATAAGACCTACCAACCCTGCACAAGTTCTCCAACGACAGAGAGTAGCCTCTCAGTTCGGAAGCTAGTTGAACCCAACTGCGAGTGGCAGGCCTAGTTGGAGCAGGGAAGAGGCTTTGCATGGGCTGTGGCATCCCGTCTGGGCTCGCAAGCCACATCCCAGCCCGTCGTACCGGCGCATGACACCTTGGAACAGGCGGCCAGCTCCCACATGCTTGGACAATGAAATCACCGACCTTGCAGAAGAAGTGACGTTTCAGGGATGAAGGTTGAAAGAAGTGGCACCAGATATTTGCAGAAGATGGATTTTTGGTGTTTGCAGAATCAACGCATGCCTGGATGGACTGGCAGGTGATCGTGGGCGTTTATGAGTTCCAAAAGGCCAGCATGGCAAGCCATCGAAGTGACCGTAGTTGTCTGTGTGTGTGTGTGTTCATGCCAAGTAGTCGGGCAGCTCAGAGCATACTCCGATGCCAGGCTGAACTACCAGGGTCAGGCATTTTCGGATGCGGACTTGCAGGCGGGCACAGCGGGAAAGCTTGCCTGGGGCCGCTCCCTGGCGTCGCTCAAACACCTCATGTCGTGTTCTGGACAACGCTGTGAGTGAGCGCAGGACCTGCCCCTCAAGGAAGTGGTATACCCTTACGAGGAGGTAAACTTCTCTCAGACGCTTGGCCAAAATGCACGGTCCAGGGATTGCAATCCCGCAAGTTGTTCCTGTCGAATTGCGGCTATAGGCCGGCAGCATCCTAGGAACAGAATGCAACACGAGTTATAGCGGACAACATAATTGCTTGCCCGAAGCCGTCTGAAGCGTGAACGCCGCATGCAAGTCTCTTTGCTGGGAGACGGGCGACTTTAGTGGTGGGTCGCCTGCCGTATGTGCTAAAAGGAGGTATATCCTCCCGAGGAGGTGCAGCCACTTGCATGGAGCAGCTGCCGAAGGTTACCAAGCACTAGCCTCCCGCAGTGGCTTTCATGAAACCGCGGAAGCCATGGCCGTTGTCATCGGGGATTCGCCTCCGGCCCCGCGAAGAGCGCGGCGTGTCACATCGGCTTGGTCTGCCGAGCCGGCAGCAGCTGTTGAGGCCAGACTTGTGAGTGTCTGTCGTTGTCCAACTGTCGGGAGTGCTTAAAGGATCAGGACATCCCACGCTTTCACTTTCGCATGTTGTCGCGATCGCACTCTGAGTGCAGTAAACTGGTCCATGGAGTGTGCAATAGCGGAGGGTCTGACCCGCAGAGCAACACTTGTCTCCCAGCTGCACACGCGCAAACGTGCGCACAGGTGAAAGCGAAGGCGCCTGAGAATTTGTCAGAAAAGCTTGCAGCGTAGTCAACTGAACAGTGATGTCGAAGTGTGTCAGGGGTACCACGAATGCATCTGTCGAATTACACAGGGAGAGCCGACACCCATGATCGAATCCACCCATCTGGGCTACAGGAAGAACCGCACAGATATGCAGCATTTACCCTTCCTGCTAAGAGCAGACAAAGAGGTTCACTCCGAGCATGACAAAGTGTGCTGCAGCAACTGAAATCCCGTGCAGGACTTGAAGGAGTTTCGCAAGGAGGCCGTCTTTGTGCTCTCATGCATTTATTCTGTTCGCGAGTCTTCGCAGGCCCGGCGTCTGCCTGAAGCCGGTGTCGTGGAAACTGGCGATTTGGTCGGCGTCCAAGGACCTTTTTTGATGCGATTTGTGCGTCTTGCGCGCTGCAGAGATGAGCTTATGCTTGTGTTTTATGCAAGCTTGTCTGCATGCACTTGCGCTGTAGGTCGTTGTTGTGGAGCCTTCGAGAAGTTGGCATGGCAGAGCCTTGTCCGGTTCGAGAGTGCGTTCGGCGAGCTAAGTGTGCATGTGCTTCGTGTGCCTGTGCAGGGCATCGCAAGACTTTGGGCGAAGCAAGAATGCAAGCCAAGCTCTTTGAACATTGACTGCTCAGGAGTCTGCATGACGGTCTTTGCAGGCCAGAGCAGTTGTCACTGGGCTGGCTTCGGGTTCGAGACATTGATGGGAAACATTGCATAGTGTACATTCGCATCCTGCCTTCGCGTTCGCCTGACGTGTGACAGAGCAACGGGGCATGTTTTGTAGTCAGCCCTTCTCGCACAAGCGTGGTCAAGAAGGCAACGCATGCAATGAGTTTGTGTGCATCCGATGAATGCAACCTGCCGCTTGTCCATGGACAGATGCGGGAGCGACTCTTTGGCTGAAGAAAGTTGAGGTGCGAAGCTGAGTGAAGTGCCGCCCGCACGAGAGCATTGGCTCGCCTCCGTGGATCCAGGATGTGGAGCTCTCGCTGAACAAACTGTCTGCGGAGGTTTGCACTCTCCCAAAAAGAGGTGCCGTTTGCTTCTGTCCTTCACACCGGAAAAGCAAAGCTCTGAGTGGGTTCAGGCCGCGAGACAGAAGCCAAGGCCTGGGCCGATTCCAGACAAAGAGGGGCCGAGATAGGAGTTTGCTCCATCTTTCAGTTTGTGCTGCTCCGTTGCAAATGGTTTCTTCAGTTTTCGCTGGGCCAGTGAAAGGAAAGACGCAGGGAGAGAGAGAGAGAGAGAGAGAGAGCTGAGCCTTCAGGGGAAAAACCCTTGAAGGAGTAAGACCTCCCGCAACAAGCGGGTGTGCGCGTGCGCACGGGGTGATCGGCCTGGACGCTGCCGTGATCCCCAAGCCCGGAAGAGAGAGAGAGAGAGAGAGAGAGAGATTGTGGGAGAAAGGGGGGGCCTCGGCCCGGGTCCAGCATGCTGGACTTATCCCCAGTGAAGTGAAGTGAAGAGAGAGAGAGAGAGAGAGAGAGAGAGCCTTGAGGCCCGTTAGGCTTACTCACCTAGCTTGCGGCAGTACCGGTTTTGTTGCGCATGAGGCTCACAGCGTGGACCCCCGTAGCAGTCTCACAATTTTGCGGAAATAGACAGCGATGTGGGGAAGGCAAGTACTCTGTTCATGCTGTGATCGTGTTATGTAAGAGTAACTTACTCGTAAGGGGACGTGAGATCAGCCCCACCTTGCTGCAGAACGGCAGTTGCCCTCACCGTGTACCCCACCTAGAAAGGCTAAGGATTAATGGTAGCCATAGGGGCCCGGCGATGAGGCCGGGATGCGCGGGGTATAGTGTTCTAGGTGGGGATGACTACACGAAAACGAGGAGCACACTGCGTAGTTCCCTGCCGTAATCAGGAAAGACCCCGATACCAGCCACTCCATAACACAGGGGGTGAGCTGGGCGGGCCAAAGGCCTGGGGGCGCGCGCGACCCCTACGCCCTGCAGAAAGAAAGAAAGAAAGAGAGAGAGAGAGAGAGAGAGAGAGCTGAGCCCTCCTTGACTAAGTCATGGGGGGAGGACCTAAATCCTGCGGACTGCAGGTGCGCGTGCGCGCGCGGAAGGGGTAGCGTCCGCTGCCTCTTTCTTACCTGGCAGAGAGAGAGAGAGAGAGAGAGAGAGAGAGAGGGAGAGAGAGCGAGATTACCCTCAGCGCTCGCGCGCGCGGAGGCAGCCGGGACGGCGCTGCGTCTTCACGCCCTGTAGAGAGAAAGAGAGAGAGAGAGAGAGAGCGAGCTGGCGTAGCGCTCGCGCGCGGGGGTCCTAGGGTTTCTGTCGTGATCAACTCGCGTTGAGTGCCACAGCACGGTACCTCGTAGTGTACCTCGTCCGATTTGCCTTTGGGCAAGAGCCCATCTAGCTGGGACACGGCCAACCCTTGGTGGGGGTCAGCAGGCAGTACAGGCACAACGAGCTACAACTGACGGCGGAGAAAGCACACAAGCCCGCGCAAGTGGATGCCCCTGAAAAAGTCCGCCTGACGTCAATGACGAAGATGCAGGACCACCGATTTCAAGGGGAGGGGGCAACCAACAGGACGTTGTCCCAGACACGCAACTCGTGTTCTTGACTACGTCGTTTCTTAGGAGGGGAAGCCCACCTCGAATCCAAATCGAAGCCTGCCTCCAGGCGTTGAAACGCCGCGACGTTGTGCGGTTGCCGTGGCCGGGGCTGCGCAGGTGCAGTTAGACTACGAGTTTAGAAAGGTCACGACCTTGACGTGCAACCCGAAGAGGCCGCCACCGCCGATGACAGAGCAACATTACATGGCTCAGGACATGTTATCCACTGTCGGCTATGTTTCATCGATGTCCAAATCGCATGTTTAGAGAGCAAACGCAGAAGAGGCGACAGGCTGTCTTTGTCCCTTGAGGATTGGGACAAGCTGTCGGACAAGCGCTTCAGTCCCGGGAGGTTCCGGGAGGCAGTCGAAACTGCTTGAAACAATTCGCGACAAACTTTACAGGCTCAGTGCGACCTGGGACAACATGGACGCCCCGTCGCGGCGGAAGTACCGCGGCGCCTCGGTAGCGGCCATTGAGGTCGGACGATGAATGTTCACTCTGGAAGATGAGCTGCTGCATAGCTTTTTCTTGGTCTGCAGGTGTATCAGCAGGTTGCCCAGTGGCGGCATCGCATGCATGCCCTGCTCAAGGCAGCTTGCTGCAGAATTCTAGGCTGCTGTGTCGGTTCTGTTCTGTCCGAGGAGCTGCTGGATGTGGCGCCCAAGCCGCAGGCATAGCGTGGCGAAACATTCAGCACAACAGGTTGCTTGATTCCTTTCCGATGTCACGGGCGCTTTAAAGCACCCGCCAGCAGCTGCGCCTCTCGGATCCCCCACATCATGCAGAGCATCTGGCAATGTGGACAGGTAAATGCCTACATGCTGTACACGATGGAGTGTCCCGGCAAAGACTTTACGTCCTGTTGACAAAGATGTAAATTGCACACTACAGCACATGATTGAAGCTCTCTGCATGCTTCCGCATGTCGTGGCTGAGCTGTTGATTTTGCTAGTTCAGAGCGTTTTAGCAGGGGTCCGAACAAAGGTCGGGTGTGTTTCTGGTAGTTCACCACGAGTCTCGGGCAGTTGCCTTGAGGAAGTCGAAGAAGCCGGCGGAGCCACTGCCACCGTGGCAAGACGTCAAAGAGGAGCCGCGGCAGCTTACTGGCTGCTTTTTTCTCCAAGACCGGAAACTTGCAGTGATCATCTATGACTGCTGCGAGGAATATCAGAAGCTTGTCGTGCGGCGGAATCAACAGTTGCAGCTCGGCACCGGAGTTTTACCCACATGTGGTGCAGCTAGCGACTAGTGTCGTGGGCTGCTGTCGCGTTTATGAGCCCGTCAGGGGTTCAGGCAAATAGAATCTTGGTCTGATCCGCAAGATGAAGAGTGTTGTGTTCTTGAAGGCGGGAGATGCGCGATCTCTACATAGAGGCATGGCCGCCTAGGACTTGTTGAGGTGAACTTCGACTACGGGAACTCCATGCAAGCACTGAACTGCAACGAAAGGTGCTACTTGGTGCTGGCTGGTCTCAGCATCGCAGCCACCTCTTCCCCCGCTCGGCATCACGCTGCACCTTTGCATCTTTCGAGATTCGGAATGCTTCGGGCGATTCGGGCTGTGTGTAGTTGGCTGGGATGTGATGCTGAGAAGGCAGAAGTCGACTTAGCTTGAAACTGTGGACGGTTTGTCCATCACGAAGAACGCAGAAGCGAGTCAGACGAGTACTGAGCACAGAAATTCATTGTTGTTCCGTCCGAAGCTGTGATCACCGGAAATGAGGCATGCTGACGCTGCTGATGTGCTCCCGGCGCACGAACTCAGCTGCGCATAAAATCTCTGCACGTGTTTGGATTGAACACATCTTTCCCTACATTCCTTGCTACTGGTTCGTGAAAATGGACTAAGACTGATCTTCTGCAAGTGCCTTTTGCTTCTTACAGAACCTTACTGCCGTAGAACGGGCACAAAGAGGCCCTGGACACATGGACAGGCTGATCCAGCTGCAGTCAGTGGTCACCCTTGTGGCGTCATCACACCAGTCGGTTGATGGCGCCTTAGGTCAGTCCATACCTCCGGCGGATAAGCAGCTGGAAAAAGGGACCGTAATGCAATGCTTCCAGTGTGCCTATGCCGACATTTGGGAGTCGAGCTGAGCCTTAGCCGCTGTTTCGCACAAGCATGAATCAGTACTCGCGAAAGCACTGCGGTTTGCCATTGAGAGCAGCGAAATCTGCTCCCAGGAACCGACTCTCTGCGGAGGGTCTGCGGAAGGCAACGTACATGGCATGATCAATACCTCACACATCTTCGTCCGTGACGGTCCGTGGTGGATTGGGCTTCCGTCTTGCAGGTGCTGGAGCTTTGTTCCCGATGCGAGAAGCTGCGTGTCTTGAAGCTCTACAAAAATGCGGGGTCCTCAGTAGTGATAAGACCTGGCAGATGTGCCGTGATGGTCGTCCTGATTGAATTCTGCAGGACATCAATGATGATGGTGCGCAGGCACCTTGCAGTCTCTGATCCCAGTCCACTCATCTCCTCCAGAATCGTCGGCAAGAATCAGAGTGCAGCAGAGCCTGGTGTAGAGGCACTGAGCCGCTTCGTGCGCAAGTGTTACACACTCGAAGAGCTCCACCTCTCCCACAACCGCTTCACCGCGCGGGCCTCGTCAAGAGCCTCGGTTGGTGGCAGACGGAGGCATGTTTGTTCTCTGCAGGAGTTTGATCAAGCGGCTTCAATGTGAAGTTGTCATACATCGGCCGAGATCTTTGAGTCCTTGATTCAATCTGGTGCAGGAGCGGGGTGTCGAGTTGCTGGTGAGAGCTGCCGAAGAGGACGGTTTCATCAGCAGATTCGGAGACAGTCTGGGTGAGCAGAGCTGAACGGGATTCTGGAGCCATTCTTCTTCGAGACTTCTGAAGCTTCATTCTTTTCTGGAAGACAGTTGTGGACATGTTGTGCCCCGCTTGAACGCCCTCAAGCAGCTCCGCTCGTTGTGAGGCACGGACCCAGGCCAAATCTAGTGTTCCTATGTGGACGCGCCTGGAGCAGAACGAGGTCAAGAACCCCGACAAGGCGCAGTGAAAACTCGTCTGCTCGTAGGAAGCAAAATCGAAAGTTCAGCAAGATCTCTGCTCGTGGCGAGAGGTACTGGAATATTTGGAAAAGGAGTACAGTGCATTGGAGCTCAGCTGACCAAAGAACAACCTGGCTGTTGTGCAACACACCACTGGCAGCAAGGGCTCGGCTGGTTCATGTTCGTTTGGTTAGGATCAGCTAAGCATCGCTCAGTCGAGGTCTGTGGCAGGAAGCACCGCGACCTGTGCTCGACAAAGCACTGTCATTACGGGGCCAAGGCCTCTTGATTAACCGTGATCTGAAGCGGGATATCGTCATCGGCTAGTTTGGCGCTTCATGATGTTCACTTTTTTGTTGGGCATTGCAGCCTAGAGGACTATCGGTATTGGAGAGCGTTGCCAGGGGACAGAGATCACCGTGACGTGACGACGGTAAACCCGTGTGTCGCTTCTTTATGCCGAAGTCTGGTTCAAGTGCGCTATACTGCACTTGCGATCAACCCCGATAACTCCGCTTGCCCAAGTTCTGCGGTCCACTCCAAGATGTCCTGTGCTAGCATGGATCCGCGATGCGGCTCGGCTGCCCATCGCATGGAGCCTTAAAGCCCATCCACATGGCACGCTTTGCTGAGGTGCCGAAAGCGGGCCATCAGAGGCCTCGCCTGCCCGTGCCTCGGGCTGCCAGGCCCTTCGCGACGGAGAGGTGCGCAAAAAAAGTCGACACCTCTGCACCTAAGTCGATCGATCCTTGTGAGCATCTCTGTGTGGACATTGGCTTGTGCCCGTGAAGGAAGAGGATCGTCTCTCGACGGCAGCGCCGTCACTTTGTGACGACCGCGAGGACGGCGGTGCAGTGGTTCGGATCTGTTTGCGCGAAAGAGCGAGAGATGCTACGGACCGCTGACACAGACCTTAAGTCCTGCAGACAGAAAGAGAGAAGAGAGAGTTCGGGTGGGGGTGTTTAATTTTGGGTTCAAGGCTTTTGAGAAATAGGTCCTCAAGGCACATCGACAGAAGGATCTTACTGGTTGCTAGTTATGCGGCGCATGTCTGCCCCCCCAAAGTAGAATCTTCTGTTTCGGTGCTTTCTGGCCTTTTTGTGTTGGGGGGGAGGGACACTTGTATCGTCCGGGCCAAGCCTCCTGGGGGCCAGGGTCCCAAAGGCCCACGAAACAAAGGGAGACAGCCAAGAGCTGCAAGGATGCTACGACGAGCAGCTTTTCTGCACACTGGACCAGCTTGTCTCGATTCAACGTGGCCATCAGCACCGTGTGACTCTCTACTCGTACCGTGCAAGACAATATGCCGCTGCCACGATCATTGAATTTCATCTCAGGGTGGGCAGATGTTGCCGACGTCGACTGCAATTTTCTGTCAGCTGAGAAGGCAGTCCTGGAAATGTCAATGATGCTAGACTTGGGCACGATGGTGCACATATGTTAAGGTGAGGTTTGAAAATGAGGTGATTCGGGCAGTGTAGTCCAAGGAGCCTCTTGTGTGGTTTACCTTGCTGTCCGCGAAGCAATAAGGCAAAACGACAGGGTTTGCACCGGATATGCATCAATGCTACAACTATTCCCACTATTGCTACTATGACTGCTAGCACAGCATTGAGGCTAGCTCCATGCTACTGCTGCTGCTACTACTACCACCACTACTACTACTACTACTACTACTACTACTACTACCACCACCACTACTACTGCTAGCCGCCCCCCCGACCTAGCAACTATGCTTGTCAAACCAGGGTTCTGGAAGCTCGAGTTTGCAAAATCGACAAGTGAATATTCGAGGCAACGAGGAGTGGCACGACATTACGAAAGTCTGTAAATACCAAGTCAAATGCACGTGCTTGCAAGCGAGTCGTCAGCCAACCCCTTAACCCTCCAGCCCCCTACTTCCGCGAACCCTTCCGAACTCCGAAGCTCGAGTTTGCAAAGTCGACAAGTTGATGTTGAGACAGCAAGAGTGGTAGGACTCTACGAAGGACACTACGAAGGTTCCGTGAATACCGAGTAATTTGGATGTGCCTTTAACATGGTGGCGAGCAAGTGCAGCTGGTGGGAGGGTGTGCCTGCTACTGCTGCTGCTACTACTACTACCACCACCACTATTGCTGCCCCTATTACCGCCACCGCCACCACCATCACCGCCACCATCACTACTACCGCTACTACTGTTGCTACTGCTGCTAGCGCTGCTGCTGCTGCTGCTGCTGCTGCTGCTGCCACTGTCACTGCCGCTGCCACTGCCACTGATACTGCCACTGCTACTGCTGACACTGCAGCTGCTACTGCTACAGCTACAGCTACTGCTACTGCTACCGCTACTGCTACTGCTACCGACTGCTAGTGCCACGGCTCTAGTGCTACCGCTACTGCTACTGCTAGTGCGACCGCTCTAGTGCTACCGTTATTGCTACTGCTACTGCTGCTGCTGCTGCCTCTGCCGCTGTCTGCTGCTGCTGCTGCTACAGCTGCTACGACTTGGTAGATACGGGACTCATAGCGGGCTTCGTGTGCAAACCCGGGTGGTAAGCCAAGCTTGATATGGAGGCTCCACAGAGCCGACGCTGGGCTGACCTTTGTGACTCGGACGAGTCAGACGACGAGCAAGATCAGGCTGGCACCTAGCAGCAAGCTCCGACTGGAAGCGTTCCTGGCTTCCTTGTACTGTGAGGCACAATCCTCGTCTGCGCCTCCCAGGGAGTCCCAGGGAGAATCGAAGGCTCAGCTCGGAGGACCTTCGTGCGATGCCCGGCGTGCGGTCCTGCCCTCTCAGGTGTCTTCCCCTGCTAAGCCGCGATGGGCAGATCTCGCAGAAGACCTTGACCAGCAGGAGACCACAGCATCAACAAGCTGCTTCGTCCGAATATTCCCCTTTGTCAAAGTCGGAGTTCTGAAGCTGCATGCCAGCATGTACCAAATGTAGCATTCATCTGAGGCTCGCATGCTGTGACTCAAAGCCCGCAAGCATCTGAAGACGAAGGTGCCGCCGAATATTCGCCGAACCATTCGCAGCTGACAACCTGACACTCAAGTCCAGAATTCATTGAGATGCAGTCTTGTACGTTGTTTGGTCTGCTTGAAGGCTTAGTGAATGTGGTGGCCGACTCCTTTCATTTTTTCCCATAGTATCGGTGTTCCAGTATCGGTGCTCATTTAGATGACCATGGCTGTTGTTATGCTCGCCGAAAGCTGGGCCAGAACGTTAAAGATGCGAGGGTGTGGGGGCAAAGCTGGTTGCAAAAGGAGGATGCGGGCAGGAACAATCACACGGAGCGACGTTGCGAGGCTTGAAGACGCACAGATGTGCTTGTTGCGAGAAGACCTGTGAATTGAGCTTCAATGGGCAAGAAGTGGATGGCTTTTCCAATTTATCGTGAACTGAACTACACTATTCGGTCTTGGTCTCTGTCTGTGTGTGTGTGTGTGTGGGGTGATCGGTGGGAGGCAAGGATGGGTCGGCCAACGTTATCCGTTGCAGGACTCACGACTTCGCAAGGACTCGAGTGTCAGGGGGTCCAGTGAGCAGTAGCTGACGAGATTTTCTAGCATCTCAAGTTTTTTTGATCGGCCGCATCCTGCTTCGTGCGTGTCTTCGTGGGAGTTGGTTCCGTAGTCTGGGGTGCACTCTTCTTCGGATCGATGCCGAAACATGCCACACTTGCAAGCACCTCCTACATGCACGCATGTCCGAACACAAAATCAAGCACCTTCATAGTTCAGGCACACACACCTAAAAGTGCGAGTGCAATGGCACACTTCGTGAACCTTTCGTCCTGTGACCAACTGTACACATGTACACAGATTCATCCTAATGTGTTCTGTCAGGCTGGGGCTACAAGTCCTCCAAGTGGTGGAAGAACTCGCGCGCGGATGATTCAAAAGCAACATCGTCTGCAGCGGTAGGGGGCTCATAGGGGAAACATGGATTCGAGAGACGGTCCAACGGCATCCACCATCTCTGCACCAGATCACCGAGCCAGCAGCATCAAGAAAGGCCTACGACTACGACTACGGTGCTTACGGCAGAAAGTCCCAGTGGCGCCCGGCCGGCGAGTCCTACAGTCAGGCCGCAGGAGGGTTGGCTCTTGACCTGACGAGGCTGTTCATTTATCGCATCCCCTATTGCGCGATTGGACTGTACATGCCTCCTAGAATCTCGTGGCCGCCCTGTCCAGGCATATTCCATGCCAAGGGTGACACTGGTCATGCTTCCCGAAAGGTGATTGTAACAGTCGTTGCAGAGTGAAGGGCCATCCAAGGGTGCCGGACACTTGCCGTAAGAAGAAACCTTGAAGAGGCGTCAATGCCTACAGTGTCCTACAGAAGCCGTCAAGTCTCCTTGCCGATTCTGCACCCCTTACAGGCGCAAGGTCATCGACAAACATGGTGGTCTGGCGGAGGCGCATGTTGGCACAAGTCGAAAACCTAAAACTAAGCCACAAGCTGTCGCTTTGAAAAGCCCTCTGCTGGATTTGATGTGCAGGCTGGCAGTACGAGAAGCCCTCGTACGCACCGAAAGGGAAAGGTGGCTTGGAACAACTTGTTCAGTATTTGTTGTCTAGATTTCTCGAGTTGTTTTGTATTGTTGTATGGACATCTTCCAGCGTCCAGCGGGCTCCAATTCACCGGGGCTTCAAGCAAAGCCTGACAGGCTCGAGTGCAGATGTGCTATGTCAGGCTTTAAATGTACAAGTAGTCAGGGCCGTTTGCGGGATCTTTCGAAGCTTCGCCAAGGCAAGGGCAAGGCCGCCGGCAAGGGCGGTGGCAAGGCGAGCAGCAAGGGAGGAGGCGGGGCGGTGGGGCGCTGAAGAACTGAAGAGTCGCGGATCGAACTGGGATCACAAATAATATCGGGACCTGAACAGTTAACAATAATATTCTGGAGGTTCCTCATTGTAATTATAGTCTAATGGGCCCCAAAACCCTATTAGGAATGGCTTGAAGCCTTTCCTAGTGAGACGGCCTTCCCCGATGACTTGGTCTTCATTCCGGATTGGGATCTATTGGATGCTTCTAACAACATCCAAAAACTTCGAGTTTAGGCTCGACTGGCCTCTAACATCAATCCGCAAATACTTCGTGTCACAACTGCTGCTTTTTGTGAAGCGGTAGGACTTAAAGCAAAAATGCTTGTGAGCAACCCCTTATCTGAGAATTGGCCGATCCCGAGATTTAAAACGACAGGCGCTCCCATCCCCTGGATTCAACAAATACGGGCGCTCAAAGACGACGTTGCTAATAATCGTGTTACTCAGCAGATTCAATGTGTCACACAGATTGCTCTTGAAAGATGGGCTGATATGTCCTCTGATGAAACCAGAACAGCATTGCCGACCAAACCCGGTCCAATCAAAAGGTTCAAATCAGCGAAAAATCGCATTACTAGATTTAATGATGTTCTTGAAAGATTGAAGCAAAGAATGAAAACACCTTTCGCACGCATTTACTTGAGCCCAAATGGCAAGCTTCTCCTCTGAGCCGCGTAACCTTACACATAGATGTCCTTATCCGCGGGACTTCTCTGTACGAATTCTTGACGATTGGTCCTCGAAATATGACTCGATGTTAAAACGCATTGAAGATGTCATATCTGAGCTCAGTTAGGAAGTCAGCCCAAAGATAGCTGAGAGTTCAATGGATGCACAAGTCATCTCCAGCTTCATTCGCGCCAGACTCATGTCCGCTGTGCCCCAAAGCCCTATTCCAATTATTCAAGCCCCCCGACATGATCCACCTGCAGGTGGTGGAGGAGGCGGCTCTAAGTGCCAGTGCCAGCGTCTTGGCAGGAAATCTTCGGAGTCCGAGACCCTCCGCTGTGCGTTCTGATGGTGGTAGTGTTGAGTGTGTGGAGAGTGCACATGCAGAACAGCCTGCTTTAGCGCAGTAGGAAGGAATGAAGCATTAGGATGCAGAGCGAATGCTCTGCTGCCAGGTACATCATTGGCATTGAAGAGGAGGCGAAGCCTGCTCATGCCATGTGCATGTGATGCCTGCGCATGTGACACGGAACGTAAGGCTGCAAAGGATAGATTAGCCGCAGGACTGAGAAATGTAAGCTGTGCCTGCAAGGGCCGCTTCCGGGTATGCCGACGACTGCTTGGTCAGAAGGCCAGGCATTGACTGGGCTTTGGAAGAGGATCGACAAGCAAGGCAGCTATCACTTGCTAAACTGTTGTCACCTCCCATGCAGGCCTCTGTCGCGCCCACATGTCCCAGATGCCTGCATGAAATCTTCCTCGCTAGGGCCAGCACATGAAGGACATCGCCGAGAAGACAGGCGCAGCTCAGCTTCAGAAAGCGCGCTCGCGGCGCCATCTTTTAAGAATATCTTTCCTGATTTCCCGGCGGGCGGGCGGACGTGAGGGGGGGTGAAAGGCCCTTTCAGAGGACTGGAGGGCTTTCGGCCAAGGCCAAGCTCCGCCTCCGTGGCCGTGGTTCCAAATTTCTCGAAGGTCCGGAGCAGAAGGCGCGCCTTTTTCTCTGAGATCCCACAAGTCTCGCTGGGGACATGGGGCGAGTTGGATGTCCTGGCAGGAGTCTTCGGACCCTTTGATGCTTTGTGTCAGCGTGCCCGACCCCGCCTCCTACGAGGAAGCTAAGCCTGCGGCTCAGGAAAGGACACTTGTGTCGGTTGTTCTGGGTGCATTGTCATGTTCTCTCTATTGCCGCTGGTGATGGAGTTGATTGTGATATTGGCGGAATTGTCAATCATTTAGTCGTGGGTGTTGTGGATCTGTGTAGTTGTAGCAGTTGTCGCTGTCGTGTTGTCGTCGCTGTCCTAGGTGGTCTCGTCGTAGTGCTTGTGGCTACAACGACGATGACAAGCTGCTATTCCTGCTGCTACCGCTACTGCTACCGCTACTGCTTCTGCTAGCGCTACTTCTACTGCTGCCACTACTACTACTACTACTACTACTACTACTACTACTACTACTACTACTACCACGACGTCTGCTGCTGCTGCTCCGGCTCCGGCTCCTGCCTCCTAATGCTGCTGCTCCTGGTACTCCTACTCCTACGACGACTTCGACGACTTCGACTACGACGACGACTGCGACTGCGACTGCTAATAGAAGTCGTCGGAGTCGGCGGCTGCCTGGTTGCTGGACTGAATGAATGAATAAATGAATGCACGAATGAGTCAAGGAATGACTACATGCATACAAGAATGAATGTATGAACGTATGCATGAATGGATGCATGAGTGGGCAAAGGAATGAAAGCAGAAATAGATGCGGGCAGAAATCAAGGAATGGAAGCAACAGGCGAACACATGTAGAATGATGGTTTCGTCGCGATGGCTATGATGGCCGCGATGGCCATATCGATGCCGCGAACACGGGCAACGACGACGGCGACGATTGTACTCATGAGGTTGATGACGAGGGCGGCAATGACGATGAAAAGGATCCTTGTTTCTGCAATGGCGATCATGCTGCTGGTGCTGCTGCTATTGATGGTGGTGGTGATGACATTGATGTTGATGATCGAGATCGTATTGTTTACCACGAAAGCTCAGCTGCATGAGACACTTCTGAGTCAGGCACTTGGTCTCCTCCTTGTTGGAGGACATCTACGTTCAGTACCGCGAGTTTCAGCTTTCCGAAGGACGCACTCTGAGTGGGCCTAGGGTTTGCGAAGGTGTTCTGCAAGCTCATAGTGTCGTGTTCGCAATGCTTGAACTCGAATTCATTGCACGAAGAGCGTCTGCCATAAGCACTCCGGACATGCACACATCCTGACCTCGGAAGGGACTGGTTTTCTGAGCCAGAAGCTGGGCTGCTGCTCCGTCCCTTTGAAGTAAGCAGTCGGATCTCGGACGAGGACTGAAGCCGAAGAACCTGCAGGTGAACTTGCATGAAGGCCCGAGACCAGGCAGTTTCTGAGGTGATGCTCACCTGCATGTAGTGCGTGGACATGTGTGGACATCCTGCATGGAACAGAGGGTGTGCACTTGTGGCAAGCAGTGCAGGATTTTCAGTCTGTAAGCTCGACTCGTGTTGCACATCAGCTCGGCTGTGATCTCAGGAAAGTCAATATCGTTCGAACTTGTTCCTGGCATTTCCTGGCCCTCAGAGGGGGTTCCTTGCTCTAAGCCGGCTGCAAGTCCCTGTATGCATTTGCCTGCATTGCTTCGCTCCTTTGTTGCTTTTAAAGTCTGCGCTAAGCAATGGTCATGCGAGATGTTGCACTGTAATTGCAGCAATCTTTTCCGTACGCGACATGAAAGGCCCTGTGGAGCAACAGGGCTAGATTGACTTGAGCCCTGTGCGCAACCAAGGACTTGCAACGCAAACTGATAGAATCATTCATTCCTTCGCACTTTTGCATTTTTGGTCTGCTGCCCCTTGGCTGCCATTGGAGCCTCTTCCCGGGCCTCGTTGTGCGATGGAGTACACCCGAAGCCTAGATGGAGTCCTGATGGCTCAGGTACAGTACCTGTGAACTGCGCATGTATCACAGACTTGCCCGCCGAACACTTGCGCGGGGAAGGCACGCATGCACCCAATTCGGCTCTCTATGGAGTATTGCATGAAGCCACCCACTTCCGGTTTGGGAAGGGTGGCCCAAAAGGCCATTCCACAAGTGCTGAGTATGGTAACTCCCTCGCCGCCATGTGCGCACCGGAGGGGACCATGCCCTTGCACTGAAGCAGCTGTCACTACGCCTCACGGCTGCGCTGACATTTAGCATCATCGTACAACCGCAAGCATGCTAGCAGTAGCTTGAGCTGGAACTTCTGCTGGATGTATCGCTTGAGACTGACTGCCGTGCAGTCCCAGTCAGGCCCTGGCTTCATGTGACTCTGCATCTGTTGCCGAATTGTACATAGAGCAGGACAGGTGTGCAGACTTAGGTGCGAGACTTGCACAAACTTTGAGCCGAACAGCTCGTTGATGAAAAGAGTGCAAGCGTGTCTTGCACAGCTGGTGCTGGCAGTCGGCAGCAGCCACATCCTGTCTTAAGATATTGCAATGCCAAGGTGGCACTGCTCATATGCGAGCCTGGCTTCAGCAGTAGTCTAGTTAGACATGTCGCAAGGTTCACCTTCCGCACTTTCATTTTCAGCGAGATGCCGGCGTCCAAGAATTCCGGTCTCGCTGTCTTGTGGTCATGGGTCGGTTGGAGCTGAGGAGTTCGGGCAGGCGAACAATGACGGCCCACGGAAGCGGAAATGGGCGCCGCCTCCAGAGCCCGTGGAAGACACCGACCCCTGGAAGGACCGCGACAGGCCTTAAGTGCTCTCTTGCGCCTCTGAGACGCCAAAAATAGGATCTTCATGTACAGGGTTCTAGGGCTCCGTTTCATTGACCCCTCAAAGAGTTGTCAGGGAAGGACCCAAAAGCCTGGAAGCTCAACATGAGGCAGAAGTATGACTCACAGCAGTGCTGATCACAGTAAAAGTGCGTGGTATGTAGGCAGCCATAGGACATAGGAATATTGAAGCCATGTCAGTCGAAGTAGTACTGGCAGTGGTAGAAGCAGTTGTAATAGTAGTAGTAGTAGTAGTAGTAGTAGTAGTAGTAGTAGTAGTAGTAGTAGTAGTAGTAGTAGTAGTAGTAGTAGTAGTAGTAGTAGTAGTAGTAGTAGTGGTAGTAGGAGTAGTAGGAGTAGTAGGAGCAGTAGGAGTAGTAGGAGTAGTAGGAGTAGTAGGAGTAGTAGGAGTAGTAGGAGTAGTAGGAGTAGGAGTAGTAGTAGTAGTAGCAGCAGCAGCAGCAGGAGTAGTAGTAGTAGTAGTAGTAGTAGTAGCAGCAGTGTAGTAGTAGCAGGAGTCGCAGCTGTCGCCGTAGCTACGGCCATACAGCAGTGGCAGCACGCTAGCGGTAGAGGGTAGCAGTAGCTACAGAGGCGGTGACTACGGCAGTAAGTACCGGCGCTGGCACAGGCTTTGCCAACATTGGAGTGATGACGGCCTGCAGGACACAGACTGGCGCGAAGGTCGTGATGATTGGTTCGATGGTTGCCCGGAGGCGACAGCTTCGACCGGACGTGCTGTCCTGCTGTACTTGTTGGTGTTTCGAGCTTTTCAGGGTTCAGGGATGGTCCTTGACAGTGGTCATGTTTAGCATCTATCCCAGGCCTTCCGGAAGGTTCCAGAATGGGAAGAGCCGGCCAAAAAGAAGTGGCCGGCACCCTGGGCAATCAGACGGGTTTCTGTGGAGACCAGTTGATGAAATCCTTTGCCATCTGCAGCAGCTGCTTGGAGCATCCACCAGTAAAAGCACCTTGACAGCCACCCTTCCATATCTTCAGTCCTTCAGCGGCTTCAGTGGGTCGTTTTTGGCGGCGAAGGCACCTTCTTTGTTCCACTATATATAGCTGGACCAAGGGAAGGGGCTGCATGAGGACGACGAAGTTCGGAGCCCTTGTGGTTTGACTGTTGCGAGGCGCACGGAGGAGGAGGAGGACTGGGATGGGACCGGCGAGCCGCGTCCTTCGGGTGTTAAGGCGGGGTTCGTGCGCATGTTGCATTACGATGTTGCACTCCGTGGCATTGCCCCAGGCCCAGGTCGACACTCACTCAATCACTCACTCACTCACTAGTGATGGTGCGTATGCAGACGCCATTGCTGTGATCATGGTCATCTGTGCTGTGAAGTTGTCAGTCACATTTGTACAAGATAGCCATACCATGTCTTGCCGACTAATTCTCTTTCACTAAGTGGATTATCATGTGCTTTCAGCAGCTGCCGGCATTTCTGAAAGTCGGCTTGACTGGTTCAAGCCCGCACATAGAAGAGAGCCAACGAGCACTGGCTCTGACTAAGGCTCTTGTGGAGCAACGCCATGCCGTGGTGGTCTTCGTCTACGCCCGCAGCCAGTACCCCTGCCCCAGTGAAAGCAGAGGTCGTGGCAGTCCTGCCAAAGACATCACCTCCACCTCCGCCCCCTCCTGAATCTCGATTACCTGCAGTACCATCTACTTTCTCTGAACTAGACAACTACAGCCTTTCTGAGCTACAGAATCTCCGTGCCAACAAGCCAGCTCTCGATGACTTGATCCTGGAGAAGACTGAGGTCAAGGCTCTCCTAAAACAGCTGGAGACAGCCCGGATGAAGAACCGATCCACAGCTCAGTCCATCCTGAACCAGGAATCAGGGACGCAGGCAACTTCGCAAGACTATGCCAGCGCTTCGCAGGCACTCTCTGCAACGAAGGCCTCTGTGGAGGCGTTGTCAGCTCAACGCGATGAGATCCTCCGAAAGCGCAGTCCTGAGCAGCTCTGCGTGATGCTGAACGGACAGGCTCACACGGCAGATTCTGCGGCCGAAGATCTTTTGCGTGATGCCTTGGAGACAAGGGAAAGCTTGGACGCAAGCGCCCTTGCGCAGTTCAAGCAGCAGTTTGTACAGCAGAAAATGGAGAAACACATGCGCTTGGCGCTGAAATCTTCACTCGAATCTCCGGGCACCTCATGAACGTGAAGGCTTTCGACAGAAAGCTGAGGTGAAGTGCACCCTTCTGGGAAGGTAGGTAGCGAACGCTTTTGCTTCTCAAACCTGAGATCTGCAGAGGTGTTTAAGGTCAGAAGCCTTTGGAACAGCGGCTTGACAAAAGACTTGGGCATGCCTCACGCTGCATCGTTGGCAGACATCCCTCGTAAGATGTGCACCAGCCAATAGCAGATGACATGACCCAGCTTCGATGATCAGATGTCTGGTGGCATCTTCATGCGCGCGATGGTCACGAGCTCGGCGAGCCCGGAAAGCTCAAGTTAGTCCTGCCTCGTGTCAGGGGCCCTCCATGGTCTATTGAGCCAGCTTCGTTTTTTATTTTGCCGATTGTCCGCGAAGCTGTCTTCCCACCATGATTGTGCTCCTGCCTAGGGTGCCATCGTTGCGAAGAAGGACGACGACGACGGAGCCAGGCAAGCTCAAAAAGAAGATTTCTCTGTGTGAGCGAAACCGAGCTTTTCGTGGCGTGCAGCTGTGGAAGGCCAGAGAATGAACCATCCAAGCCGAGTCGACCGCCTCGAGTACCGAACAATGCACGTGCCTCAGTTTGATGTGCACTCGAATTCTGCCTCGAAAAACAAAAGACTGCAGCGATTGTCTCAAGATGGACATATAAAAAGGCAAATTCGCAGAGTGCTTTCCAAATGAGGTGGCAAGCCGCACGTTGAGCCAGCTGGGCGTCCTGCACACAGCGGTTTATGGACATTTTTGAGTCGACATCTGCCCGTGCCACCACCTCTGAGGTGCTTGCAGGCGAGCGACGAAAAGCCAAGGCGTTCTCGCTGCTCTTAGAACCGTAGGATCACATCTACATTCAGTGTCCCAGCATGCCTGACGGAGCTGGGGACTTGTTGAACTACGGATAGACGGATAGACACTCCTGGCCGTAGAATATCTTCCGATCTCAAGATAATCGTCTGTATCCCAAGGCGCACACTGTTGTGCGCAGTGGAAGCTGATGCGGCCTGATGTTGCGAGGTACTGTTGAAGGAAGCTCCGAGAGGGCCCGTCAAGAAGGAGGCAACCTGGTCGGTTTGTCGGATGCGCTGTCAGATGCCGACTTTCCACCAACACGCCGGTAACACTGCTCTTGACTCACGGGGACATTTGTGCAAAGTGCTTAGATGTCAAGGATGACCTTGACGAGGAGGATGAAGACAAGGCTTGCAGCAGACATGCCGTGAGATTCATGCGGGCGGGTCTTGCATGCGGACAGTCATGCTTTTCTCCCTAGCATCCAGTGCAGGATGTCGAGGAGGAGGATGTCGACGAGGCAGAAGAGGCAGCTTCTTCATTTTGGCCAGGCTTTCACAGGAGAGGCCCGATATGTGCAGCTAAGGCCAGTGAAGCGGAAAAGGAAGCTGAGGAGGCACCGGGAAACTGTTGCATGCAGACCCTGGAAAACGACTGCCACCTTAACCACCTCGGAGGCCTCTCTAACCAGTTGCATGTGGATTTAGAAGGGTGGTGTGATGAGCTAGTTGTAGTATTCTCTAGATTGCATCGACAACTGAATTTGAGGAATCCCAGTCATGTGCTAGCACCTTCTCAGATCAGCTGAAGTGTGCAGGAGGAGGAAATGGAGGACGAGGAGGAAGAAGTCGCAGAGCCCAAGCGGCGAGGTCGTTCGCACAGCAAAACTCGCTCCTGCTCGCTCGACTTGATCTTGAATGTCTGCAGTTCTGGATCGTGCAAGGCCAGGAGCGTGAAGAGGACGTTTTCTTTGCTGGATCGCAGCTTGCAGCAATGCTTCGGTGTTCCGCTCGCCTGCATGAGATGTGCATTGTGCATGTGTGCAGTTTCCAGCTGAGAGTGAAGAAGCTGCAGGACGATCACTACAGCAGCAGGCGTGCCCGTCGAGAGCGCAGAATATATGCTGCAGTTGCCGGCCTTCGTTGACCCGTCCAGTGCTTGACGAACGAGGACCGTTTTTCCACGAAGGTCTTCTTGTGCGCCTGTGCCAGGCGTCCTCCAGAGCGCCGTGGCATGCATGCGGATCGTTTGGATCGGCGCGACGAGCGTCCAGGCAGTCTGCCGAAGTGTTTTCCCTGTAGCTCCACGAGCCTTGTCTGGAGATGCCTTGTCTGCCAATGCTTCTGTTTGCTTGCGTTTTGCAGTCTCGGTTTTCCTTGAGCCCCGCCCTGTTCTCTGCAGCTCGGCACCATGCCTCGCCGCGGCGTGAGAGGCGCAGGGGCAACTGCCATGACTTCCCATGACACCTTGCAAAAACTGGTGATTCCAAGCTTTTCCCACCTGCATCTTTTACTTTTGCAGGCACAGTCCTTGGACAGAATGCTCCAGATGATGCTTGACTTGTGACTGCCATCAAGCATTCTAGTCCGGAGGCGTGAAGCTGATGGCCGCGGGGCAAGATCCTCAAAGGGGTCTTGAACGGACGTTGCGGCTGGCAGTGCATGGCGAACCGCGAGCGCCCTAATCAGCACGCGACTTCGATTCCGCCGTCATGGTTAAAGCTGTCATGTTATCATCCCATGGGTGTGTCTCCAGACGTTTGCAAGTAGTACTAGCTGGATAGACATGGACTTGGAGGATCTTGGAGGTAATACATACATACACACACACACACCCACTGGCCCGTATGCTGAGTAGTCCAGCATTGGGTACACAAACACGGCCAGGCCGGAAGGGACCGAGAGATGCGCAGATCGCCGTAGTCGACCCAGCCTGTCGTCGCAAAAGTGGTGGCACTCAACCAAACAAGCAGTATGCTGTAGCGTACCGAAGACAAGAGCTGGTGCTTGCACCGAGGCGTCGCCGACACGAAGGCAATGCACGGCCATGCAAATGGGAAGCCCCAAATACACGGGAGAAATGTGCCATGTCACCGAGTTACACGCCTCATTTCATGACTTGGCCCTTCGAATGATGATGAATGGAGGCACTACTCGCCGCGAGGAGGCCGATCGAAGGCAGGGATCGCCGAACGTAGTGGGGTACTGCTGCTTGATTTCCCCTGAAACCTTTCTTTGTCCACTGGCCAGTTCTCACCTTGGGATTTCTAGACACCGCCCGCGTGAAGCCGACAGAATCGAGCTAGGCGTGGCGAAAGAGATCGCGGTGATAGGCGGAGGCACAGAATGTCGTTGCAACGTGATTCTGTGACAGTGAGGTGTGACAGATACCAATCACCACGCAGCATGTCAGCCTGTAAAGGAAGACCCGCTTCGTCAGGAGCAGACCGTCACCTGGTGTCATGTGCTTCCGCTTCTGTATAACCTCGCTTGAATCTATCAGCATGTCACAGCTGAAAGTGTGTCTGTCCGTATCAGAATTCGGCAACTTCACACCGTCTGTGCAGGCGCGAGAATGCTAGGCGGGAGGATCGTGACCGCTCACGCCGAGCAACGCGCCGCAGGCTGGCATGCCCCGCATCAGCAATTGCATTTTCATGATAATCAGGAAGGAAAATCACCCTCCTAATTCTGGCCGTCCCAATCCTAATCACCATTATGTGCAACGAGTTTGATTTGAGGAGCCGCAGCCGTCACGAGCGGGGACGGGGAAACGTGCCGGGCTCAGCACGTTTCATCTGCCGTGTCATTTTCAAGCTCTACGTCTCCGGCGCTGCCAAGGAGGACGCCTCTCGCTTGCAGCGCCGTGGTCGCGGGGAGCGCGGGGAACGGGAAAGGCCGCGGCGCAGGTCGGCGCGGCATGAAACAAATCGAAAGTGGCTCCTTTTTGAGAGTTATTTTGCCAGAAATTCTGGCAAGTGCGTCGCATGTCGACAGAAATACATCGTCACAGATGCCAGGGGATCTGCAGCTTCAAACCGCTTGGCAGCCGGCGCACCTCACTCAGACTTGGGGCAAGAGGGTCACGGCGCAGCAATCGGTGCAGCAATGATTGAAATGAATATTTCTGCTTGTAGTCTAAGTCTAGTGGTCATACTAAGTAGACCGGTGTCTTCATAATGTCTGTCACGCTTGTAACATGCGATTTGCTTTCTTCGCCTTTGGCTCAGTCACACCGGCAGCGCTAGACCAGTAGCTCCGTCATGGCTGCCGTGCAAGTGGTGCAGTTGCCGCCTGCCTTTTGCGGCGAGCAAGCAGTTTACGGGCCTCACTACCGCGGAGGCCTGGCGCCGCCACCGGATTGGTGGGCTCAGGCTGCCCAAGCCTGCGCCCTAACGCAATGCCAAGTTGCAGCGTTGCAACAAATGTTCCAGCCTTGCCGCTGGCAGACTATCAATGGCTTCAGTTACCAGCCGGTACAAGCTCAAGCGCCAATGATGCAGATGGCCACTCCTCACTTTGCACCCCCTGCACCGCCCATGCCTGGGCCTTCCCCCACGCAACAAGCCCCCCTGCAAGCACTCCACCCAGCACCAGCGGCAAGCATCCCAACGTCGGCCCCCACGAGCTCACCCAAGAGCCCGACGCAACCTTCGTGGGCGGACTTGTCGGAGGATCTGACTCCACCGAGCCTGCCAGCGGAGTTGCCGACTCTGCTCCCCAAGCCCAGCAAGGGTAACGGAAAGGGAAAGGGAAAGACTGCCAAGAAGTCATCCAAAGGAACGGGCAAAGCCAGAAACGGTGGCAAGTGGCAGAATGAATACTCGGACTATTATTCTTGGAACTACCAGTATTACGGCTGGTATTGAGTTTACCCGCGATCGTGGGAGTGTGTCAACCGCAGCTGCGACTGTTCAGCAGGCTTGCAGATCTTGTAGGGCATGACCAAGTCATCCGCCTGTCGACGAGAGGCGCGGGGCGACAAAGCCTCCCCCAAGCAGAATGGCCTTGTCTCATAGACTGCCATCTCGGATGCCATGCACAGAAGATCGGCGTCCGTTCAACGTCTGGCCCAGAAAAATGTCCCGATCACACAGGAAGTCTCACATCCCATGATTCTTGCCAGGAGGATCCCTCCAAGGTAACGTCCATTGTCCTAATGCAGAGCACAAGTGTGCCAAACAGTGAAAATGCAGTTGACTCGGAAGGGTCTTGTAGTGGCCACATTGCATTGCAAGCTTCTATGAAGCTCTAATTCGATGTCGGCCCATGTCTGAAAGCATGCATGTTCAATATTCGTAGTATGCGGAGTTTCACTTGTCGGGGTCTTCCGGGGTTTCGTGGCATCTCGCCGAGGAGCGCACCGAGAAGCTCATGGAGAAGATGCAAGGAGGGCGTCGGCACTGGGTGCAGTAATTGCTGAGTACTGTGGAGTAGCCATCCAGTGCTTCTGACAGGAACTCGTGGACGCGGCCAACGCGAGGTGTCTGAGGGTTGAGGAAGTCACAGTATCAAGATGGTGTTGAATCATAGACCATGAGGGCAGCATGAGTATCATCGTCCCTTTGGCAATGATAGCTCATCCTGGTGTTGTTGTTGCTATGACTACTGATGATGCAAGCTGCTACTTTCGGTCATGAGGCTTGTGTTGCATTTTTCCACTAGGTACCACAGTTATCGTCATTGCTGCCACGCAGTTTCCGCCCTGGATCACCTTGTCTAAGTTATCTAGTTGTACTTCATGCAACACCAGGGTTCCTATTCCTGTGTACGGATCTGACTGCCATGGCTGGTACCACGCTTATTACCAGGATTTTCGAACAGCCGGCAATCATAGCAAGCCATGATGTCAGTGCTTTTGGTTTGGAGTTTGCGATGGTTCAACGGTTAGAACCTCTTTCTTTCTGTCTGTACTAGGAAGGCTTATGATGGCGGTTGTGGTGGTGGTGGTAATGATGGTTGTTGCGAGCGGAGATATCCCGTGCTTCACAGGCAGCCAAAGCGCCGGAGTCCAAAAAGGCTGCCGCAGCCTGTGGGTTCTCGTGTGGGATGCCCTTGGGCCTCAAGACTTTCTGAGCGAACTCCCTGTCGAATCTGGGATCTAGACTCTAGAGCATGTTTTCAGACTTTTGCTAGGTTCTATTTGCCGCTGAGCACACATACGTAGACATAAGCCTACGTACGTGTATACGCAGGCCGAATTGTGTAAACTGCGGGATCTTGACGGTTTGGCTAGCCAGCTCCTTTAGGGCCTTGAAGGGCTATGGAGAGATTCCATGTCGGTACACCCTCATTGAGATACCTAAAAGGACAAGTGCAGAGGCAGTGAATGGCACGAGTTGGCTGGATGTCGGCTTGTGGCTGGACTCGCCGTTCTGAGCCATTGGGTTCAAGGTTTCGGGTCTCGGGTTCAGGGTTTACGCATGAGGATTAAGGGTTTGGGGTTCTTGCAATTCGTGGCCTGGTCTTTCGACATGTGTGCTTGCCGCGTAGCATGATCTTCTTGTCGTGCCAGGTGGTTGCAACCAAGCAGGAGCCTAGTGATGTCAACAAGCAGCAGCAGGCATCTGCTGGCACCAGTTTTCGATGCTGTCGTAATGGTGTGCTGCTCCGTGTAGGAAGTCAGCTTTTTTCATCGTGGGAGCTGCTGGCGACTGACAAGTGACACATAATTCCAGCCCAGTGACGACGAACGGAGAGCTGTCTTGCGGACGTTTCTTGCAACCTGCAGTGGCTGGACAGGAAATTAGCTTATCGGGTGTGTGGTTCTGATTTGTCCTGCAAGTCAATGCTGGGACAGTGCGGCGCCTGGCCACCGTAGACAAGGTGACCCAAGGGCCTCAGGGCATGACGGCCTTGATGAACTCAAGAAGAAGTTACCCTATCTGAAGAGCAGAGAGCATGAGCTTGGGAGGCTCTCCCACCCCTCGTGGCCACCCGGGCAAAGGCGGCTCCAAGGCGCAGCGGATCGGACAGCGTTTCGGGATCCATGTTTTCTTTCATTCCAATATCCCATATCTAGAGGACTGGTCAGGGCTTATCGTCACTTGAAAGCACAATGTGTAAGACTTTGTTGACATGATGTTGCAGAACACCCTGTCTCAAATTCCAGCTTCCACTCAAAGGGCGCCTGGTATGCACGTTTCGAAGAATTGCGCGGTCTCCAATGCGAAGCCTCTGCTGGATGGCAGCTCCGAAATCAAGATCAAACGACGCCATGGGAAACAAGGCTTCCGATTGGCATTCTCCGACCTTGGACCGGATCTCATGTTTGAAACTTCGCCCTGAATGATCATCTCGGATTGAGTTTGCTTGGGTACCGAACTGGAGGCAGTTGTTGGATAGCTTATCGTGAGGCATTCAAGCTTGTTCGCGCCAGCTACTGCTTTGGATGCCTGGACAATCAGGACATGCTCAAGCGATATCTTCGCAACGTTGTTGGCCCGACCACCACGCTACATATTGCAAGTCAAAGTCAAGAGACATCGTACGATTTTACTTGGGTGTTAGTCCTGCAAGCGACCATGGACTTGAAGTGATCAACGACGACGTCTTCGCCCTCTACCATGTCAACATTTTGGCGAAACCGGTTTTGCTGTCGGAACAGAAATCACAGAAATGGTTTCTGGATGGACTCGAAATCAAATTCGAATCGTGCGTTGTCAGAGCATTGCTCGTTTTGTACTTGTTTTCCTGCCACCTCTCCCGCAAGACCGGCTCTGAGGTTTCAGTTTCGCAGCTCCCGCACTCGTGAGTCTCTGTCAGCACTGTGCCCTCGTGGACATCGCTGCACTCTTTGGAGCTCCCACGCTCACGGTGCTAAGCGCTCCCATTAGCATCAGTCTGCACGATGCAGAGTGCGAGAGTGATTTTTTCTTGCCGCTCTAAATACATGTTGTTCGAGACAGACGGGCCACGGGCCATCTCATACTTCATGGATGGAACGACTGAGCTCGGTCATGAGCATATTGAGTGTGCTCATATTTTAACGATGCTAAGCTGCCACAGCTTATATGCATGCCATATGTTGAAGGAAGTCTGTCCAGTTGCTGCCAGGCGACCGCAGCAGAATGCACAGCAGACACAAGCTGTGCCAGCGATGGGGACTTCCAGGACAGTAGATGTGAGCTTCTTCCAGGGCCCATGTGACGAGCGATTTGGCTGATGCGCAAGCATGGTGACTCCATGGTACATATCTGCTCTACAGATGAGTGAACACCAGTAGCAAACTTGCCATTGCATGCCCACAGGCAGTGTTTAAAACGATAGTCAGCTCATTCAAGAAAGTAAGAAAGAACAGCCTAGTGTTTGTTGCAGTCTTTGGGCTGCGGCTGATCCCGCGCAGGCCTAAAGCATCCACAAAGCCTCCAGGCGTGACTTGGCAGCAAGGTGGAGCGACCGCCACTCGTGGATCTTGTTCTGGAAGGCAGTGTGGTCATCTACATGCGCATCCCATGCCCAGGCATCCAAAGCTGCGCCTGCAGCCGCAAAGGCCTTCCACGTACCTGGACGCATCGTTCTGCTTCCACATGGCCTTCAGAGATTTCTTCGATCACTATGCAGAATTGTGGCACAACAGTTTTTACTATATGAAGGCCAGGGTGATCAACGTTTGCTGCGAAGTGCCTTCCAGGACAAGGTTCTGGGTAGCATGTAGAAATCCTCGGGCACACTGCGTCAAGAAAGCAGGCACAATAGGCTCAAGCAACAGCATATGAACAGGGCATAGCTGGTGGTGAGATGTGTAACTCTGTCGCGAAACGTTCGACTCCGGTCACCATGTGTCTTTCAAGAAGCCTGGTAGCACAGAGCATCCTTTGCAAGAAGGTGGTAAACCCGTGCCTGCATACTGTATATCTTGAATGTGCTAAGCTTTTGCGGCGGGCAAGGGCAGGACAAAAGGACGGGTGTGTCAGGCAAGTCAAAGCAGAAATGATCCGCGGCTGCTGAGTCAAGGGCAGACTTGTGGACAACTTAATGCAAAGTCCGGTCTCGCATTTCGGTGCATTGACAGTCATCATCATCCCACATCCCACACTGCACGTCTAGCCATCTGGTCCGCATGTGCTCACATTTGGTCACTGTCTCGTCGCTCATCGTGCGACGCCGGAGCTCGTTTCCCTGTAGGCGACGGCCGCGGCCACGGCGAAAGCTGTGGGTGATGGAAACGAGCCCGACCCTCGAGTTGTGTGGAGTGCTAGGAAGAGGAATCGAGCTTTGGATTGAGTTTCTGCGAAACCGAAGCTGATCTTGTTTTGCAAAGAAGGAAAGAGGTTCTGCTACGTGCTTCTTCGTCGGAGTACGTGCAGATTTCTTTCGCGGGAGCGCATGGTAAGCCGGCTGAATCAGTGGTGCATGTCACACATTGCAGAAGCTGTCGCTCAGATCGGAGTATACGTACACGGAAGCGTCCTGGCCTCATCTTCGCAGCAGTGTACTTGTAGCTTGTCTCGTGTGCTGGAATGGGAGGCCAGTTTCTGAAGGTACTTGCTGCGCCACGGTGGGAAGTACGGGCAGATGTATTCAGAGCTTGACGAGCTCCTCCGTCAAGACCTTCCCCAGAACCTTCGCCCTTGCTACCGATGGAAACACCTTGAACAACTCACTTCCGATAGCCTGGTAGCATACCTGCTGAGATTTATGGAACCGACAAACAGGTTTAAGGACAGAAGGCGAGCAAAAGCAAAGAAGAGCACAGGTCGGAGTACACCTACGAAGACGTGGAGGGCGAGGAAACCTGTACTGCACAGATCCATTCCCTGCAACATCGAGGTAGCAGTTGCATCATGAGTCTGACAGGGAATGTTTGTGAGGAGGAAGAGGAGGCCGTGGAAGTTGAGGACGATGAGGAGGAGGAGGACGACGAGTG